ATGTGTTAAACACTGGCTAGTTATCGCTTCTCAAGAAAGTCTAAATACACATAAATGTTGCCTATGGTGCAGGTAGTATAGAAGGCAAGACTGAGACAAATCATTCGGGTTACGTTTGCCTGTTGACATGTTAATTATCTTAGACCATTAAAATTCAACAAAATCAATTAAAAAACACACTGTCATACAAAAATATGTATTATAGACAAGTTAATAAGACTACAAGTGATGCTATAACAAAATTAAACGAGTTTTAAAATATGTATGGGCCAACCAGTGGCTGTAAAAACAAAGTTTTAATGGTTACATTCAAGACTACACACTCTAGTGAACAGGACCTTCATGTAGTGTGGGGTTTTTTTTGTTTTTGTTTTTAAAATCATGCAGAATCCTTTCATGTGCTTTTCAGATGTCATTGTTAATTAACAATTTTTGTGTAGCCTGATTTTTTTTTTTTTTAAATGAAAAATAAGTGATTGCTTCATATACAGAAGCATCAATATACATTTCTATATTGTGTAAAGACACAACTACAAAGTTAAAAACCAAACACCAAAACAACGTGCCAGACAACCTATCTGTGCATGGCTAGTGTGATACAATAAGTCTACATCTTAAAAATGCAATAACCCACAGAAGATGGGCAAATTGAACTTTGATTCGAATTTTGCTACATCAGTCACTTGTAATATTGTTTCACACCTGCAACACTTGTTTAACAGATCTAAGGGATACAAAACAGATTGATATTTTCTACACTAGAAACTACCAGATAACAAGCTGCTATATTTAAACCAGTTATCAATAGCTAAGATGTACCACGCCACCACGTCCGCCACCGTCCCCAAGCATCTCCACGCTGTCCCATAGAAGCGTTCAGCTGTCCATCTCCCCAACACTGGAGAGAAAGAGGAAGTACCCCTCTACCCACCCGCGATCCCTGGCCCTGAATGCCAGCATTTCAAAATTCCTGGTCTTTGAAATGCTGTCATTCCGTCTGGAAACCTGGTGGCGTTATTGCACTTCAAGAAATGCACCGCAGGCTGCAAATGTTTCTTTTTTTTTATGTCCCAATATTTTGGGGGCTACCCCAATTAAAAAATAAAAAACAGTGTTGGCTACCTCCTCCACCGCCGCATCCACCTACACCGCCATGGTCACCGCCTCCTCAACCTCCTACTCCACATCCTAGTTCAAGATTATTTTAAATTTTTAGGTATTTTAGGTTATTTCCCTACCCACATTTGTTTGCAGGGCACTTGTCCTACTCTTACCCCCATTTTACTTCCTTTTGCAGCCCTCTAGCCCTTTCCAGGACTTTTTTTAGAGGCATTTTAGTGTCCAAAAGTTCGGGTCCCCATTGACTTCAATGGGCTTCAGGCCCGAACTCGGCGAACCCGAACATCCAGGTGTCCGCTCAACTCTACAGGTAAGCTTTATTTGCTGATATTTGACATTCTTCACATATTTGAAATCGATGGAGTATGGCCTCTCCATGCTATCCACTGTACAATGTACAGTGGTGGAGACCCTCACCACCTTTCAAGATCATCTTCACAGTGGAATTCAACCAACTGATAGAAAAATCTATGTCATGTATCATGGTACAACTGTAGTAGCAGCTGCAGAAATCATCAATGGTTTTCTTTGGTCAGAAGATGGTATGTTAGGGGAAGGAGTCTATGTGACCAGAGTTCTGAGGAAAGCTGAGCGCCAGCTCTTAGTAGATAAAAGTAATCAGGTTATATCGAAACTCAGAGTAAATGTAGGTAAAGTGATAAAGATAGAGCATCAGAGCCACAATTTACAAAATACTTGGCACAGCTTGGGTGCCTCCAAATTCTGGCATGGTTGAAAGTGAGTTAGAGAAGGATCAATGTAATAATCTACAATATCTATATTTACTGCAGCGATTGGTTTAAGCACTCAGAAAATAAAACCAAACATGCATTTTAATATTTTGAAAAACTTTACTATGACAGTTTTCTTCCTTCTTTAACTTTTAAATAGATTTTTATGCTCATTCCTAATAAGAGGCCATTGCAGAAAAAGAAACAAATACCCTGGAAACCAAGAAAATATTCCTCTGACACAATAGTAGCCATTCTAAAAAACCTACACAACCATAGACATTGCACCTGTCCATTTCAATTCCACAAAGCATTATGGTAAAAAAAAAAAAAAAAAAAAACACCTGTCATCATCTATTTGTTTGAAGTGTAATTGGCAGGAGGCAGCCCTGTTCACCACCTTCTGGTCTTGTGAGCAAATTCAATATTTTTTGGAACTCCGTAAAGACATATGCCACTTAGTCCTTACACATTGCCTTTCCTTTGTCTTCAGAGTTGGTGGTTCTAGGCTTTTGGATTTACATACTCTATATTTTTGGTTTAAAAAAAAACAAAAAAAAACAACAAAAGTGTGATTAACGTTGAGTCTTTTGTTGGTGAAAGAAACCCAAGAGGCTTCACCCACACATCACTGCCTGAATCCTTGAGTCTGGGTTGCTATGGATCTCAGTCATGAGTGTATTTTCTACATTTTATTACTTTGTTGGTTGGTTTTTTTTTTGATAAAACAATCTCAAAGATTTTATATCTTCCTGATGCCTAAAGAGTGAAGGTCTTCAAAAGAGGGGGATAAGGTATTGTATGCCCTAAATGACACCAATGCCAGGAGCACAGCAGTCTAAAAAGGGCTGTGGAAGGTGAGTGAGAAATTATTTCCTTTTGCTTCTATATTTTTGTTGTCTACACAACTATTAATTCTCCTTTATTTTGATTTTATTTTCTTTCAAGAATACTGACAAATATTGTACACAAGTATCAAGAACTACATATAAATATCCATGATTGCGCGCACTGTTTAAATAAAGTTTGACATGTTGGATATACACTTTAATAAATAAATTGAAATGTTAAAATATTTGTTTTACAAATTGAGCATTTTGTATTAAAGCATATAAAGTGCATATAAAGTGCATTCAAAATACAGAGATAGAAGATAAGCAATCCAGGCATTTAGCTACGCCTCCCAGAACACACCAGCACTTTGATTTTTAATCTATACATTTGCTATCCCTTCTGGAAGCACAGGATTTAAAATGACATGTTATGCTCTTTGAGTATATGTTATGTGTTCCATAATGGTTACACATTAAAAAAAAAAAAATTACAATTCTTTTTATGGGATTTTTAGTGTTCCTTATTATTTTCATTTTAATTTGTGGCAGTTAAAATATTTACGTAATGGTAAATGGAACTGTGAGATATAAAAACACAGCACTGGAAGTGTATGACCATACAGGGGCAAAACACAAAGGGTTAACTCCCCCCTTCACAGCTTGCTCGGAATGTTTTTTCCTCCTACTGTGCTTTGCGCTTCAACAGGATTGGTCAGACAGAAAGCAAGGAGGAGGTACAAAGGCAAGATAAAGAAATGTGATGGGGTGTTTAATCATTAACCGTTTGCCCTCCCAAAAGCAGGTTTTCGAAATCATAAGGGAAAGTACAAGGAGTTGAAACGGGAACCAACAGTACATTAGCAGAAGGTGGTGGAGGGCTATGACAGCTGCGAAAAATTTAAATAAAATAAAAAAGAGCTTCAGTTTTAATACATAGTGTACATAGTGTTTTTTCTTATTACAAAAAAAAAAAAAAAAACTTAGGAAGGTGAAAAAGGGTGGCTTTGATCTGGCAGCTGATGGTAGCCAAGAGCGGTCTAGGGATAGGAGCAACAGTGGGGCAGTGAGCTGCTGGCCACCGTGGGTAGGTATTAAGGCTTGGGCGCTAGACAAAGTTTTAGATGACTGGCTTGCTGGCAAGGTACCGCGGGGGGTGTCCCATGCTAAAATGAACAGGTTAAGCTGCCAGACACTTCCCTCTCCCCCCTTTTTGGGATTTGTGGGAGTTGTGATTCTTGCCGGCCAGAACAGTGGATTGTTTGTTAAATTTGCTAAATAAAGGTAAACATCCCTCTTGTGAAGTCAACAAGTGGGTGGGGGGATATGATTTTCATTCCAAATCTTGTTGTGCGAGTTATTAAGGGAATTAATAGGGTCTATGGATGGTTGTCAAGAGGCTGGATGGGTGGAGGAGTTTAATCTCATAAAGAAAGCAAGCATTGCCCATGTGTTATTCTGTGATAAAATTAATTCTGAGATGCTGCAAATTAATCAATTTCGTTAATTGCATTTTTAACCAAAAACGAGTCTCCTGAATTTATAATTACAGAATGATTTCTTCCTGTACTATTAAAGCATAAATGAGGTGTGATTTGTAAGAACATTGAATATGGAAGATTGTGGTTTTCTCTATTTTTGCAAATCACTTTTAGCAAACAAAAAGCACAGACTAACGAGTTTTCTAAATATATATTTTAATCTTCCTCTCTTTCAGTGCCATTGCTAATTTTTTATTATATATTTTTGCAAGTTTCAGGCTTAGTTCTGCGCTGTGTCGGTTGAATGGCTCTAGATTGCCAGAGCTATGAGCAGACACGTCTGACCATCTTGCGGTTCAGGCCCCGCCATTGCTAATTTTTATATGCTGAAAGATTACAGCGGTATATAAATAGATGCCCATGTGTTGTACAAATATTTATTCTATAAATAAATCATGATTTCATGTGACTACTACTGGGACGCTGCTAACCAATTCCCATATGCTGCCAGACAAAGGATTACGGGATTTTGTACCTACATACCTATGCATATTTCTATTTTAGAAACTTCAAGGATTTAGGGCAGAAGTATACATTATGCAAATATAGCCGTTGTGTAGGCACTACAGCAACATTTGCCATGCCAGTGGGAATAAAGTGGGGTTATGATCCTGCGGCTTTTAATTTTATTAAAGACACGGAGGCTCCTATTATGCATTCTCTTTCTTTATTATACTCCCAGCAGCAAGAAGAGGGAAGTATGAGAGAATCATAGAAAAAAGAAAACCATAACAGTATCCTGGTAACAGAAGCACCAATCAGCATCCAGTATAATCCATATAGGTGTAGTGCTCCTTGACTCCTCCTCTTTCTTGCTGCTCCCTCAGACAAGTTAAGTACATCATTTTATTACTCTTGTGAATTTTATACATTTAGTTGTATTTAATTACTGCACATTAATTGAATGATTCTTAGATGATATTATTACAATTAGTACTATGTCATTCTGTGTTACTGCTGTTTTGTGCCCTTCTGGTGTTGAGGAGAGGGCTGCCTAACTGCTTCAGGGGGTGATTTCTCCCTGCCCCAGTGACTGGGGCTACTTACCTGGCTTCTGGTGCTTGAATTGGCACCTTCGGTTTATGTCCGCGGTATTTCCACTGTTTTGCGGCCGGTCGCGCATGCGCGGCCATTGAATTTATTTTCCCACTTGCGGCCCAGTCGCGCATGCGCAGTTGATAGCGCGGCGGCCATCTTTTTGGTTTATGTCGCCGGGAGTGTAAGTTTACACTCGCGGCGGCCATTTTAAGCGCGGTTTCGGTGGGAATTTGCTGAATAACCTTCTACCGGCTTCTCCTACCCGCCCAAGCACTCTCCTAGGACCCAGACTGGGCTATAATTGCAGTGTATATTTCGGTTTTGTTTGTCTACTAAACTGTAAGTGTGGTGTGGAGGATTAATCTATCCTGACACCATTTTCTTTGCTAACTTTTCCTAAGCTAATTCCTTTACAGATTAAAACACTCTGCTAGTACTTTTAACTGATACCAAGTGTTTAAGTGGATTTTACTGGCCTAATATTTCCACTAGTTGAACTAGGGTATATATTCCCTGTAAAGATTTTAACTGCTATGCAGGACCAAAGTGACAGACCCTCAGGGTCCATGTGCCCCACATCAGGCGTTTCCCCCTCTAACAAGGGAAGTAAAAGTGACGCCTCATGGCATCTGAGGAGTTTCAGTCCCTCCTGGACGTTACCATGGCACACTCCATTAACAAAGCTTTGACCTCTGCGATGGGGGTCATGTCGTCCTCTATCACTCAGTCTATAACAGAGGCATTGATACAGACACAGACTAGTGGCATGCAAAATACACGCAACCCGGTACCCACTAACGTGGCCCAACCGGGACGTAAGGCGTTAGCAAAAAGCAGACATGTAACCTCCCCTCCAGAACTGCAGGTTCAGCCTGCATCGAATGACACGCTTCAGGCTGTCAAAGATGGCGCGATACCACCGCGCACTAGAGCCCCTGGCCGGGCAAAATCGGCCAGAACTTGGAAACGGGCACGTGCCCATGGGGATTCGTCCGATTCGGACCGGAGTGTGGAGGAGGAATATGAGGATCCCTATATGGATCATTACAGCGCGGAATTTTCGGATTCCGGGTCTGACATCCAAACAGGCGTTGCTACCCAAAAGAGTACGATTCAGGGCACTACGCCTCCTGACTCTGGCGAGGGCGACTATTTGCGGGACCCACTGGGTAACCCGTTATTCGACCCAGATGACCTTCGTCATCCTCGCTCGACGGCATGGGAGCCGCCTACTCACATCGCTAAGTATCTCGCACTTCGGGTGCGCAAGCCCTTATCAAAAGAGGGGCGCAATAAATTACGGACAGAATGCCCACGACCCATCCTCCCAGACTCGGTGGAAAAGACACCGGACGTGGACCCTCAGTTGGTCCAATTCTTGAACAAGTCTGGTTGGAAGCCAAGGAAGGGATTGGATTTTTCCCTCAAAAACTGCCAAGATAAATTCCTTGATACTTTGGGACCCATAACTAAGCTTTATGAGCTAGTGGAGTCCGCCCAATCGGGCGAAAGCGAATTTGATTTCGAGGTAGCGATAGGCTGGTTGCAGAGATTAGTCTGCATGGTAGGTAACGCCAATGCGGCTATGGCTACTGAGCGCCGCAAGGCGATTCTTCTAAAAATAGAGCCAAAACTGACCAGCATGGCGACCAACGAGCCGGGCCCAGCGGCTAAAGGCTTATTATTTGGTGAATCCTTTATTAAGGATCTTGGGCTGTACGTTAAAACGTTTACGGCAATTGATAAGGCTCAGACATCTCTTAAGAGAGTATTTGCACCACGGGTTTTTGGAGGGGCCGGCAGAGGAAGGAGCCGTCTGCCCGGCCGTGGATTTCGAGGCTCAACTAGAGCCGTCAGAGGCTCCTTTAATAACCAGAGACCGATACCAGAGAGCCACTATACCCCTTTCTTCCCATCTTGGGGACGGCCCTGGAGTTCCCGTGGACCACGGGGGTCTGTTTCAAGCAGAAGACCTTATGGTGAGTACCGAATATCTCAGTTTTTCCCATGTAAAAGTGGGGGGCAGACTGGCATTGTTTCATCATGCTTGGAGAATGTTAACTGCAGATGTTTGGGTATTAAATACGATACAAGGGTACCTATTGGAGTTAACCTCCTACCCAGTTCAGACACAGCTCCCTCGAGAACTAACTATGACCAGCCAACACCAGGTGATGATATCTACAGAGATCGCAGAATTAGCGTCCAAGCACGCTATTCAACAAATCCCATGGGACACAGAATTTGTTTCTAGTCCCCAAGAAAGGAGGCGGAGTACGCCCAGTAATAAATCTCCGTCCTCTAAATGCTTTTGTCCAATACCACCATTTCAAAATGGAGGGTATTCATTGCCTTCGGGACCTGCTCATACCATCGGATTGGATGGTCAAGATAGATTTGCGGGACGCTTACCTAACCATCCCGATCGCAGAGGCGCACCGAAACCTACTGCAATTTCAGTGGCAAGGAGCGAAATGGAGGTTTGTATGTCTGCCATTTGGCCTATCCTCCGCTCCATGGTGCTTCACAAAAGTGCTAAAACCAGTGATTGCCTTCCTGCGCACACGAGGGGTCAGACTAATAATTTATCTAGACGACATCCTTCTTCTGTCCCAATCTCAATCCCAACTTCGCATTCACCTATCGTGGACGATCCACCTTATCCAAAACTTAGGATTTTTGGTGAATTGGGAAAAATCAATTCTACAACCCTCCAGACAGATGGAATTTCTGGGTTTCCAAGTCGACTCTGTTCGACAGAGGTTGTGTCTACCCAAAGACAAAATGATTTCGATCAAGAAGGAGATCAGACGGCTTATGCATCGTACGACTATTTCCCTCCGACAACTTGCGAGGATCATAGGACTGTTGGCATCGTCCATACAGGCGATCTTCCCAGGGCCGCTACACTATCGTGCCCTACAAAGACTCAAAGCCTCATACCTACGCTCTGGTCACTCATACGAAACCTGCGTCACACTGGACGAAGACTCCAGGGAAGAACTAGAATTGTGGCTAACACACATGGAGGCATGGAACGGACGGGCGATATTTGGATCGACGCCGGACCTGGTCATAGAGTCGGACGCCAGCTTACATGGCTGGGGCGCGCATTGCGGATCAGTTTCCACCGGTGGCAGATGGTCGAACGAAGAGTCTCGGCTACACATCAACTGCCTAGAGCTATTGGCAGCGTCTTTTGCCATTCGCAGTATGACCCCCACAGGCATTTCATGTTCAATTTTAATCAAGATGGACAATGTCTCAGCGGTGCGTTATATCAACCACCTAGGGGGGACGAAATCGAAGGTTCTCGCTTTGATGGCTCGAGATTTTTGGCACTATTGCCTGAGAAACAGCATTTCAGTAATAGCGGAGTACATTCCGGGGCTGGACAATACAAGGGCGGACTGGAACTCCTGATTCCTTCGGGACGCGGGGGACTGGCACCTCCACCCAATGATTTTTCAGCGCCTCTCTCGGCTCTGGGGTCCTTTCAGTATAGACCTCTTCGCGTCTCAACTGAATACCCAACTTCCTCGATTCTTCAGTTGGAGGCCGGATCCAGATGCTCTGGCAACAGACGCATTCCTGCAGGACTGGACCAAGGGCAGGAACTACGCGTTTCCCCCGTTCAACCTCATTTCTCGAACCCTAACGGTCCTTCGATATTCCAAGGGGACGCTGGCACTGGTAACCTCGTTATGGAGATCACAACCTTGGTTCCCTCAGTTATTGGAAATGTCGATAGATTTCCCACAATTGTTACCGGACATTCCCTACCTCTTAACCAACCCAGAGGGAATGAGTCACTAGCTGGTCAATCAAGGCCTACTGCAACTGATGGCATGGCTCATTTCAGGAGATCATGGAATCTCGAGGAGGTTTCGCAGACGACACTCAGTCTCTTGGCAGAGTCATGGGCACCAGGTACCAGACGTGCCTACGGATCGGCTTGGAGGAAATGGTCTGATTGGTGCATGGGACAGTCAATGGATCCCATATCAGCTTCTATAAAAACAATCCTACAATTTCTGACTACTCTTTGAAGAAGGAAAAGCCTTTCGCACTATAAATCTGTACCGATCAGCTATATCAGCGAGACATATGGGGTTGGATGGCACCCCAATAGGTAAACATGCCCTTATATGTCGCTTACTCAAAGGCATCTGTCTCACTCGACCTCCTCAGACTCGATATTCTTCCTTTTGGGATGTCAATCTGATGTTACGTTTGCTCGAGTCTTGGCCAAAGAACCAGGAACTTTCACTGAAGCAATTGTCGGCCAAACTGTTGATGCTGTTTTGTTTACTGTCATGTAAACGAGTTGCTGATGTCAGGGCGCTAGACTGGCATACACGTGTTTTTGTCCCTAACGGAGTATCCTTTAATATTTCACGTAGAACGAAATCCTCGACCAAGGAGGTGTTCTACCCATCATTGCCGGACAATCCAAGTTTGTGCCCTGTGTTATGTCTGAAAGAATACGAGCTTCGCACGGCTTCACTCCGTCCAGGACACACCCATCCACTGTTCATCTCATTCAAAAGACCTCACCTACCAGTATCTACTGCTACTTTAGCTTGTTGGGTCAAATGGTTGCTGTCAATGGCAGGCGTAGACACCTCGGTTTTTTCTTCGCATTCTGTTCGCGGAGCTATGGCCTCTAAAGCATCCATGATAGGTTGTAAATTGGAGGATATACTACGGGCAGCCGACTGGTCAAATGAGTCTACATTTCGTAATTTCTATTTACGCCCGGTGCAACACATCTCCAGTGCAGTGGTTGCTCAGCTTTAAAATAGCATAATAGGAGCCTCCGTGTCTTTAATAAAATTACCAGATTTTACTATTAACATGACGTAAAGTCATGATTTTATTAATGACACGGAGGCGAGTATTATTCCCTCCCACCCTACCCGGAGTGGTGAGTAAATTACAACCAGAACATGAAGCAGTTATGATGACTTCATACGGTAGGTACATGGTCATTCATGACACAGGTGAGTGGGTATTCGATGAATGTGGTTTATATGATACGCAGTTCGATCTAGCAATATGGCTGTCAAGATTTGATGTAATTCATCGTTTGATTAACATGATTGACGACTTGTTGGTTGCGGAATTTAGTCACGAGATTTCGATATTACCATATTTCTCCTTTCTTTTAGCTTGAATACAACTGGAGAGTTGGCGGTTGAAACGGTTCTAAATCGAAGTTTCCAGTTATGGTTGTTGGTTCGTGGATTCTTAGTTATGGTTGGACTACTTGAAATTTTGCACTAATGGTCTTCGGGATCTACGCAGAAAGAGGAGGAGTCAAGGAGCACTACACCTATATGGATTATACTGGATGCTGATTGATGCTACTGTTACCAGGATACTGTTATGGTTTTCTTTTTTCTATGATTCTCTCATACTTCCCTCTTCTTGCTGCTGGGAGTATAATAAAGAAAGAGAATGCATAATACTCGCCTCCGTGTCATTAATAAAATCATGACTTTACGTCATGTTAATAGTAAAATCTGGTAATTATATTACTTTAAGGCGG